CTCAGAAATACACGATGGGCTCTGATTGATTAGCTGGCCCAGTGTGTTGTGATAGGCTAAACCGCCTCTAGTGTGCGTCTAAACGTCCCGCACCCCAACATAGCGGCATGTGCTCCGGCTGTATTATAAACAATGACGTTGTCTATATTGCTCATCAGTTTGAGCCCGATTGAGAAGCAGAAGATATTATTGAAGAGGATCGTGCATCTTGCCTCTTAACATCATGTCAGTAAACGCAAAAGAAGGTCCTGCTATATTGTGTGTGTGGGTGCTAAGGAGTGGTTGTAGCTTGTTGTTACAATAAATAATATTGTGTTAACTAGAACTAGCTAGCTAGCTAGCATGTAACATGGACAGATAAAACAGCAACCCTTGCTGCCCTCCTAAATCACTGTTTGTCAAAACAAAAACAATCTTGAACTGTTGAGAATATGCATTCACAGACAGAGCCTGTGCCAAAACAAGATTTGAACCACAGTGGTACATATGATACTTGCTCATATGACTTTTTTTCTGATATTATTTACTTTTTCTGATATAATTACCCTTTAGGACAGGAATGGGCAACTCCAGACATGGAGGGCAGAGTCCAGTTCTATCCTAATTCAAACAAACCTGCCTTTCATTTTCAAGTAATCCTGAAGACTTTGGTTAGATTTTTCAGGTGTGTTTAAATAGAGATGGAGCTAAACTCTGCAGGACAGTGGCCCTTCCAAGAACAGAGTTGGCCATCTCTGTTTTAGGGGTAGATAGAGTACACTGTGCAAATCTAGTGTCAGAATGTACCTTGTTATAAAACATGTCACCGAAATGACGGGAACAAATAAACACGCTTGAGAACTCCGTTGCTGCCTTGGAAAACAAATTGCATCCACTGTTCACATAACACTGAATAAGGTTATCTTTTCCTCACAACCAAGAACACACTCTTTAGAGATATTAGGCTTGTTTGATTTCATGCTGCACCGCAAAGATCGGCTGCCGCCTGTCAAAACAATGCATTCTGGTTACATTAAAATACTTTTGTCCAACTTTGATCGGCGCTGCAGCCGCCCTACGATCACATGTGCATTCACGTGAGCAAAACGGGACCAGCCGCAAAAGCCTTGATGACGACACACTTTATTCTCATTGGTTAGATTCTGTGATGACAAGCACGATGTGTGTTGCATGCTTATTCTAAAAATTTGAGTCCAATGCTCACAAATCGGTGTTTATATAACAGTAAAAGCATTTTTAGGTAGTTGCACTGTTATATTGAGTCACGTTTAAAAAAAACACTGATGAAAGCATATACACCCCCACTTAATTGGTATTTAAATAGCATATGTTAATGTTTAACTTATTCATGAACAGATGGGCTGTATTAAACAGTATAAAAAGGGTTTCTGTTGCTTTATGAAAACATTCTGAAACATCTGTGTATTTGACAAATGTTGCATTTAATTCACTTCATCTGTGAATGTATGCAAACACTGCGAGAGCGTCATTACCAGGAGCAGAAAGTGTCTGACTTGACGTCTCCGCTTTAATTCCGCCCCCGACTGCAAGCGGCTACTCTCTCCAGCCGGAGGCAGGCTAGTAACTCGAGCAAGTAACTGCGGCGCTGCCGAAGACTTCCGTAACCAAGAAAGAAACGCGTTAAGCTGCGTGCTCTTGCTCGGGTCGCTAAGTGCACGCACGCACATAAGAATCCACTCTTAATTGACAGTGTAAATAACTCAGAATGCATGAAATGACACTATCCCCGTTTAAGTGCAGCATATTGCAACGAGAAGCGTGTTGCCAGTGACAACAGATAAGTACCGCACATGCATGAACTAGCACAAGCATTTAACTGAAAACAACTTAATGAGCCCAAGCAACACAGATAGCCTTAGCAACACGAATGTTGCCGATAACCTGAGAGCATTAAATGGAAATAGCTTGTGAAGACGTTCGAGAGAGTGAAACATAGCAGCTGTGAAGTGGGTGCTTGATCTCTTGATATCCTTCTTGGGGATGAAGTTCCCATCTGACTTCGAACTTAAATGAATCGGAGGTGAGACCATTGGGGAAGCGAATTACCCTTCTCTAAATTCCCGATTCCTAGTGATGATGGTGTTTTGCCTGCCGAAGTCGCCATTTAATTAGCTATTGAGCAATGCGAAAACTGCTGATACTACTGCGGGACCTTATATATCAGGGATCCTCAAATCTGGCCCACGAGATCCACTTTCCTGCAGAGTTTAGCTCTAACCGTAATCAAACACATCTGAGCATGCTAATCAATGTCTTCAGGATCATTAGAAAATCACAGGTAGCTGAGTTTGATCAGGGTTGGAGCTAAACTCTGCAGCGCATTGGACCTCCAGGGTAAGATTTGAGGAACCCTGTTATATATGAACGCTTAGATAGGTGTCGTATTCCCATAGGTTGATGGGGATCAGCTGAGAGTCAGCTGATGCGAGCTTGACTTACGTGACCTGCCAGAACTAAGGCTACGCTTGATTTTCTCCCTTGTATAGACACATAAACCATGAAATTCAAATAAAATTAAAATAAACATTAATTCAAACTAATGCTGCATCCCATTGTGCCTACTCATACTACATCCTTAAAGTATGTACTCTTTTGGTGAAGAAAAAGTACACACTTTTGAGTGTGTAGTAGAAGAGTAGGCAAGCTTTGGGAGATGTCATACAATTGCATCTTTAACGGTCCGCTCTGTCGCATAATTACACATCCTGTCACTGTAAACTGGTCTGTCAATCATCTTGTCACAGTTAACATCCTCCACATTTCATTTCATTTAACTTCCTTATAGGAAAGAAATGAAGTAGCACGTTGATCTGCCAGCCGTGGGTCTTTATGCAGAAAACTCTGCTCATATTTTTTGCATGATGCATTTAAAAGTTAATGGCCAAACGTATGTTTATAAAAGTTCACATTGTTTTTGTAGATGAAATATCCTAATACAGATAACATTAAATAAAAAATTTTAACAGGTTAAATGTTGATTATTATTAACTCAAACCCCTTTATCTAAACCTCTCTATTTAACAGTCAGTCGCACACATCCGCCATGTTTGTAGTTTTTTAACGTTTTTTAATTGTGTTTTTAGTTCTGAACTGAGTCATTCGTCAAAGCGCAATGGATTGTGTGTAATATTAGCCATCAGAGTGTGCACAGATCCACACTTCAAAAATCTACCAGAAATAATAGACCATCCGGGGACTTCTGGCATACACTTTTCAACATACTATGCTTTGGGACGCACTTATTTTAATCTCACATACTATTTAGGATGGATAGTATGAACATTGGGATGCAGGGTTAGGCTGTGTCTGTAACCATACTTTCAGGTTAAGAATCAACCAATCAAAAACCATATTGGTTTATAACTAGTCTGAATGTTGGGGGAAGGAGCACACCCCAAAACATACTTGAACCACATACCCAGTAGCAGACTTGCTGTGAGCTGATAGAACCCAGACACTGGAGCTATGTACCGGCCACTGCTGATGTTAAAGCCTTGTCCTCTCTGATGGAACTGCTCTGTGTTTGAGGGCTGTGGAAAACACAGAAATGGAATTATTATGCCATTGCCACTGTCTTCCATTGCCAACCCTTCTACACTGCTTGCCAGTCTGTTTCACCATCAGCCAAAGCTAACATTGCTGCTAAACTAATACATCTAGAGGTCAGGGCTACTTCAGACAAATGAAAGCCTAATTTAGAGTTTACATTGAATTTCACAGCTATGGGGGTGCTATGTCACAGTTATTGAAATTAGTAAATTGTTTCTAGTTTGGAAAGGGTTGTTTTTCACTTACATTGTTGAAGGGCTGGAGCTCCTGCAGACTGCGACGGTGGACCATCAGGTTGTGGTGCAGTTGGCAACGGAAAGCTGTGGCCACACGAGGGGGTTGATCGCAGAGCAGACAGTGAGTTCCAACCACCTCTGAGTGGGAAGGTAATTACAGGATTGTAATGTTGTCTTGTCAAAAGCACAAAAGAACTAATTCCCATCTTATTACTTCATTTCGAAGGGTTTGGGACAAGGTGTAACCCGATAGACTAGGCATCTTCTCAGACTCAAAAACACTGAAATAAAGCCAGTGGAAAATGTTTGGGATTGTATTAGACTGACACTTGGCTGTATATAAAGTCATTAAACAATCTCACAATGAATAGAAGATGTAAATATTTGGAATGTTTGAGTGTGTGTATGAGCAGACAGAGTAGATAGAAGTGTGAGGGAATGAGAATGCTAGAATGTATGAGCGTACGGCGCAACTGCACTTTTCTATGTGAATAAGAGCCTTTATGTTTTATACTGCTGTCAGAACAGCCTGCAGCTCACTGCACCAGAGCACAAACAGACCTGTGTCTGCTTTCCTGGCAATACTCCAACACTCATTCCACACACAAACATGCACACACACACACAAAATCTGGAATCTGTGGAATTCTTTGGCCAGGCCAAGTCAAATCCACGTCCTGGAAAATTACACCTATTAAGAGATCAGCCCAGCCCACATTCAGACTAACAGCCTCCCCAACAAATGAGCATGATAACACATATCCCAAACATCAAGCAATGCTGAAAATGACTTAGCCCAAACAAAAACAAAAAGCTGTTGGACCATTATAACCAACATATTTAAATGTGTTTAACAAACTTTTTGAAAGATGTTGATGTCAAAGCAGTTACTTATCACCAGTTTAACTAATTTGTGCACCTGCATCTGGTGTCTTTGTGTAGTGTGCATCCATCACTGACAAAACTATTGTGCACAAGTGAACTGAATCATTAGATGATGCACAATGTAGAGCAACGGACCCACCTCTCTGCACATTTTGTATGTCTCTCTTATATGATACATTAAGTTTAGTTCATGGAGCTTTCTCCCAAATAGCTGATCTGAATCAGGTGTGTCAAAGAGACATAAAAAAATGTGTAGAGCAATGGGTCCCCAGGACCAGAATTGAAAACCTCTGATCAAATGCCATTTTAACAAGTTGTAGGTCTTGGTCAGATCTGCCAGGTGGATATATCATGAGATTTATTTTCTGTTTTCTTTCTGGTATGATGGGTAATGGTGTGTGAATGGAGTGAATTCCAGTATACCTTTTAGTTTGACTTGGAAGTCCTTTATCATCTCTGCATGATGAGGCAGTAGGGGGCCTGGAGGACCAGGAGGCCCCTGGGGACCTGGAGGGCCTGGTGGACCTGGAAGGCCATGCTGGACATGTAGAAAGTTTCAAGTTACATTACATAATAAGAGAAATCCATTTGAAGAGGTGAAAGATTAGGCACTTTCTGACATGTTGTCACATAGGCCTCATTAGTTTTATCTTTGTGTGCTATGCTTAATCTTTTTTCATACGGTTTTACTACGTTTTAGTACTTCTGTACTTAGAGCTTTTATTCAATATATTTATATGCAGTTAGTCTATGTATTGATATTATTCATCTTTAGCATGTGGTGTAATCAGAGATTACCTTGGAGGGTCTTTTATTGACTCTTGGTTTATTATTTCCACCCTTGTTGGAGTTGTCCCTAAAGACTATCCATGTCCTGTGGGGGCTCACGTTTGTTATGTCAGAGGATACAGTATCCTGTAAAAGTTAAGCATATCAGAGCTTCAACTATGTTAGCAATCTTTAACTACGGCAAATTTATAAACTGTTTCTGTATTAGAGGAATCCATTTTTTATGGTGTCGTCACATAATCTACAATGTTTATGAATGTCATTACCATATACTTTTCCCTCATGTCTAATGGTTGTCATACCCTAAAGTAAAATTCAGAGCATTGATTTATGAGATTTTACAGTGTCTTTATGTACTGCTTTAAAGCCTTGGCAGGTTAACAGCAGGTGTGTGTGTCCCATTTGACTTACAGGGCTCTCAGTGCTGACTGTATTGTTTTCCTCTTGGAGCTCCAGACTCTCCTCACTCTCTTGTGTGGTGCAGGTAGACAGCAGTAAACTCAGCAGCAAGGCCAGTAGTGCCCCTCTTGCCTCATGCCTGAGCTTCATGTTGCAGTGTAGGTGAACTTCTAACTCACTCAACTCACTGCACAATTTCCATTCCAACACAGAGAGGTGACCAGATGTCCTGTGGGTAACACGATGGAATCGGTCCTTAAGACAGAATGATATCCAAGAGTGGAGGTGAGAAATCAGGGTGCTGGTTCTTCAAAGCATGTTCCCAAACACTCTTTGGGTAAAGTCTTCTAGGTTATTGTGGCTCTTGACTTGGAAAAGATCATTTGGTCTCTGATCTACCAATGTTCTACTTTCTTAGTTCAGAGTGCCATGAGAGTTGTCCGCAGGGCCTCACCATGCTTCTACTCATTCACAGTCAGTCTGTCCCCTGTGATAGCCAAGATTCTCTATGCCTCCTGACTATTGTCTAAATTCTCTAAGCTTGAGTTATGGATGTTCAGCCTATGTGTTATAATCACCCACTATGTGTAGGTGTGTATTCCATAAATTATTGTGTGTGTGTGTGTGTGTGAGAGTGTATTTGTTGATGGTTAATGTCTGTTGCTCAGTTGCAGTGTGATTACCTGCGATAAACCCTGTGTGTGGTATACTCAGTCTCTCTCTGTGGGTGGTATCTCCGCGTCTTCTTTCTGTTTTTAATAATGTTTGATTGTCTTCTGCTCTCCTTGATGCCTTTGCACAGTTCCGTGTGTTTATATTTTCGGTAATTCCTTCAGTGATGAAAATCTATTTTGCCAGTTGAGGTCCTTGTTGCCAGGGTCCAGTTTATTCTACATCTATGTCAGTGGTCCACTCAGAAAGGATCTCTCTGTTTTGAAGGGCTCCTTTTCGCGCTCCACTCTTTTTAACTTCCTCTCAGATCAGACTCCTCCTCTTCTTCTAGTTTGTGCACTCCTCCTGATATCAGTTGCTGAATCTTGACCTGTCACTTTGTCTTTCTTCAACCTCCTGGTCAATTGTCAGACCATCTCTCCATGCCTCTCTACTACAGTGAGCTCCTGGTGCCTTCTTTCGTTTGTCTTGTGTTTGGCTCATTCTTCTGTCTCTGCCAGCACTTACTCTCTCCGTAATCCTCAGCTGCAGGGTCCTAGTGCCTCTTTTTATGTGTTTGTATAGTGGTCTGCTTGTACACAGAGATGCTTCGTCAAGATGAATTAAAAGGAAATCAAATAGATTTAAAATGTCAGAAATAGAAAGAAGGTAGTGTTCATTTTGACTAAATGACTAATATCCTAAATTTCAGTGAGAGACACTTGGGTGGGGCCGAAATGTGCATTTCAGATATGCAGAATTGTACTGTTAAAAATGATGACAGTTAGGAGAAAAGTTTTGCACATTTTTATATAGCAAACCACCACACCTCTTTCTTTATCAGTCTTCTGCTCTTGCTTTTTCCTGGCTGAGAGAACAGCTTCTGTGTGGTCTTTAGACTAGACCACAACTGTGCACGAAACTAATGAAGCTTTAAAATATTAAATGATTAAAATTATTAAAATGAGAAATGGTTGCCACACAAACCTCACATGCAATTGATAAAGTGATAATGATAAGCAGGGCCACAGAAGTGATAAATTCTGAAAATCATTTAGAATTTTCTACCTGGATCAATGTGTTTTGAATAAAGCAGAGTATAAAGACAATTTTAAGTGATTCTGATAGAACCACTACTCATTAAAACATACACTGAAAACTGATCAAACATGCCAAAATTCCTCAAACAATAAAGACAACACTATCTAACTGATGCTGGAAATAGCAGTTTGTGGTTAGAGACAGGTGATTGGAAGCTGTCTGCTTAATTATGCTGAATAAGAGGATTTGAGGTCACCGTTCCTGCTCTGTAAAGGCTTGCTCCGTATTGCTAAATCTCATCAGACAGTCTCAATATCCTGTACAGAAATAGACTTCTCTAGAAGTTACAGCAGTGTTCAACAGGCCCAGAAAAGATGTTTTGGAAAATATTTCATTTCTTTGTATTGAAGATGCTCTTTGACATCATTTGAGAAATGGCACCACTTGAACCTGTACTGCTGAAATTCTGTTGTCAGAGTGGGTGAGTACCAAAGCCTTAATATATAGGCTACCAGTAGGTTAATATATCACTATGTTACCATGTTTTTAGGCATCTGAACTGTGATCTATACTGTGCTTTCAGCATTTAAACATGGAGCAGGACAATATTTCACCACTGCAACACTTTGTGGTGGCAAAGAGGACAATCAGTGCTGTGTTTCACCAGGTGTTGGAGTTTGTTAGAGAGTGTTCAGATTTTGTAGAGGGTAAGATGGATTAAATGTCCCTTATATGACTTTAAATATATTTGACCCTGGACCACAAAACCAGTCATAAGGGTCAATTTTTGGAAATTGTGATTTATCCATCACCTGGAAGCTGAATAAATAAGCTTTCCATTGATATATGGTTTGTTAGGATAGGACAATATTTGGTTGAGATACAACTATTTGAAAATCTGGAATCTGAGGCTGCAAAAAAAATCAAAATATTGAGAAAATCGCCTTTAAAGTTGTCCAAATGAAGTTCTTAGCAATGCATATTACTAATCAAAAATTTAGTTTTGATATATTTACAGTAGAAAATTTACAAAATATCTTCATGGAACATGATCTTTACTTAATATCCTAATGATTTTTGGCATAAAAGAATCGATAATTTTGACCCATACAATGTTATTTTGGCTATTGCTAAAAATATACCCAAGCGACTCAAGACCCAGGGTCCAGAGTCACATATTGTTCTTTAATTGTTTAAATCACACACACACACACACATTGGATTTCCATGTTTTATGGGGATATTCCATAGACATAATTGTTGTATGACGTGATGGTTGTATTTTCTAAAAACAAGATTCTCTTATCTGATGAACTTCAATCCCAAGCATCATGTCTGGAGGAAATGTGGCCCTGCTTATCATCTGCATAAATGCATGGTGAAGCAAAAACCAAAAGGATTTGGTTACCATTCACTTTCAGATGATTTGGAAAAACACACACACACACAGATTTTTCAACATACCTTTTATATTCCACAGAAAGAAAATGGAATTTGGAATGACATGAGAGAGAAAATGACAACTTTCATTTTTGGCTGAACAACCCTTTTAATGAAAACCACATCCAGAGCGCTCATGAACTTATACTTGGCTTAAGGGTTCACCTTACAGCAGAACAATGACCCTAAGCACACAATCAAGACAATGCAGTAGTGGCCCAGCCAAAGCCCAAACTTGAATCCAATTGAAAATCTGGAGAAACTTGAAAAAATGGCTGATCACCAACAGTCCCCATCCAACCTGTCTGAGCTTGAAAGAACCCGCAGAAAAGAATGGCAAAAAAAAAATCCCAAATCCAGACATGCAAAGCTATCAAAAATATCAAAGATATCCAAAATAAATTTTTGATTTGTCATTATAGGGTACAGAGTGTAGATTGATGTTAAAAGTTTTTTTTAAAGCATGAGCTACAAAATAAAATATGACAAAAAAACTCTAAATCAATCAGCTAAGTCTGGTCCTACTCTTTAATGTATGATGGTATTGAATATGTGTTTGGTACCCAGAGACGTGGAAGAGTGAGGATTTTGAGCATGTAGCTGAGGAAAAACAGTGTCTGCAGATCCAGGCCTGCTCCAGGAAACTAACCGTCATCAAAGATGTGCTAGCCCGCAGACATATGAAGGTGGCCTTCTTTGGCAGGTACAACTACAGTGATGACTAATCTAAACTTACTGTTATGTAAACCAAATGGTGACAACAGGCTAACAAAATGAAATGGATCATTAATGTTTTTGCTTTAGTTCTTCAGCTGCCATAAGTGAGGCACAAAAAAAAAAAATCTCTCTATGTTTTTCTCTCGCTCTTCTATAATTTGGTTTGAGATAATATTGAATTAGAGAAGCTAAATGGACAGTTTATTACTGGGTGCTATATGTTGTTTCTCAGGACCAGTAATGGAAAGAGTACCGTAATAAATGCCATGCAACGGGAACGGGTTCTGCCCAGTGGAATCAGCCACACCACTAACTGTTTCCTGAGTGTGGAGGGCACAGATGGGGAACATGCCTACCTTACCACTGAGGACTCTGAAGAGAGGAAAAGCATTAAAGTATGGCACAGTTTCCAGACCTCATTATGTTTGTAAACTACATTAATTTGAGCTCATTTTAATCTATATTATTACGTTATGGCATAAGGACAGTTTTAGGGGGAGTGCATTATAATGTAATGTCATAATTTTTTATTAAATGAAAAGATACATTCTAGTGTATCATCTCTAGTTCTAGTGTTTATTTATTGATGAAGTTCACAATGCAGGTTCGGGAGGAGCCTAATCAACCAGTCCTGCCAATCATCGTTTCAACCGTATATAAGCAGCAGTCATTGTTCCGTCCAAGCAACTATTCTTCTGGCATCCCTCCACCACCTCTTCTCCTCCTTTAAATCCCTTCTGTTTCATCCACACCGTATTATCATTGGGGGGTTTCTTACTCAGAGCTCAAGCCGAGCCTCGGGTTTCGAGCCTCCTTCACGGACAGCAAGCCAAGTTCGTTCTACCATTACCTGGCAGGGCTGAATGGGCAGGCGAACTTGTGAATTGCTTTCTAAACTAATGGCATGTCAAGTTATGAAGGACATGTTTTTATCTCACTTCTCAAGAAAAGTAGCTTTATTTTTTACATAATGCAAGAAAGTTCCTTAAGTCCTTATGGCATTTTAAAATGATAAATACAATCTGTGCATAAATGTGTTTTAGTGTTGTGACATGATTTGAATACTTTGTGGTCTACTATCTTGTTGAAGCTTAAGGTTTGTCTTTACCATACAGTCAATCAGCTTGCCCATGCTCTGCATATGGACAGGAACCAAGACTAAGGCTGTCTAGTCCGAGTGTTTTGGCCCAAAGCTAAGTGTGCCCTGCTGAGAGATGATCTGGTCCTGATGGACAGGTATTTACCCCTCTATGGTTTGTCAGAGCTGAATTAAGGTTCTGCAGGACAGGTTTGGCACATGAACAACAGACCTGGACAGTCGCTGGCATACTCCAGGGATCTTTGGCAGAGACATGGACTTGCAAGGAACTCTACAAGGTTTGATGTTTTGTGAAGAGGGCTGATGTGTGAAAGTACTAATGGATTTTGGCAGTGCTGTTCTTGGTATCATGCGTGGTAAAAGCCTATTTGGTTTGCAGGAAAACTTGTTTAATTTCTTATTTCTGTTTGCAGAAATGAAAATCAGACACCAAATTGCCTGATCTAATTAGCAATAAAGAATGAAACATGATTTGTAGTTTGATGAAATATTAATAACCCACACTCTTCTCAATCTGCAGCCCGGGCACAGATGTCACATCAGAGCTGGACAGCTGGATTGATAAGTTTTGTTTAGATGCTGATGTCTTTGTGCTTGTGGCCAACTCTGAGTCTACCATAATGAACACTGTGAGTAGACAGATTAACTAATCACTGAAAAAAAAATGTGTGTGTTGTAGTGTTTTATATATTTTTTTAATTAAAATTATTTGCTGTTTTTCTTTCTTTTACCTAAATGCTCTTGTTTGTATTTGTTTCACTCTACGTTGAAAGGAGAAACACTTTTTCCACAAAGTGATCAAAGCCCAACATTTTCATCCTAAATAATCGTAGGGACGCACGCGTCTGCCTTAGAGCCAGAAGAATATCTGGAAGATGTAAGTTTTATTACATATGACTCATAACCCATATTTATTAGCCACAAGTGATTCACCACATGAAACTGCTGTACACAAAACGTAGATTTTTGTTTAATTTATCATTTCTCCGTCATAGATTTCAGATTTATATGTTCAAAGAAATTTGATTACTTACTAACACTTCATAATTTTCAATGTCTTTCACAAACATTATGCAGTGCTTAAAAGTTGAGAACGTCATGTACAGTGGGGCAAAAAAGTATTTAGTCAGCCACCAATTGTGCAAGTTCTCCCACTTAAAAAGATGAGAGAGGCCTGTAATTTTCATCATAGGTATACCTCAACTATGAGAGACAAAATGAGAAAAAAAAATCCAGA